TCCATTTCCCTTTCAGACCTGCATCATTTTTCACCTGGACCATGGTAGTAGCTTGCTATTTGGCCATAGTTTTGTCCCCTCTTCAGTCATTCATATTAAATGATAATATCACCATAGTTAGAATCCTTCAAAAGCTCCCCATCACTAATAGAATCAATTTTTCTCAGCAAAATAATCTAGGCTATCTCTGCCTCTTCATCCCATCGTTGACTATCCTCTGACCAGCCCGTCTTGGTCTAGTAATACTGATCTGCCTCTACTTCCCTAATCATACCAGGCTGTTTCCTATCTCTCTGTCTGCCCTTCCTTTCTTTTCACTATGTTAATCCCTACTCTATTCCAGGAAGTCTTTCCCTGAAGCCCAAGCTGGCTTATAATTCCCTCTCCCATTCTCCCAGGGAATCCTGTGCATGCAGCCTCACAGCCTCTGCCCTATTATATTAAAATGTTTCCTTCAGAAAACCAGTACAGTAAATCTAGTGCAGTAGCTGACTTTGGCTTCTCACTCAGATTTATGTCACCTCTCAGAAAGGCCATCTCTGATCATCTCATACTCCCACCTGGTTCACCCTTTTTTTTTCTTTCACTTATCACTTCATGGTATTTCCTTGTTTATTTAAGTGTTTGTGTATAGTTTGTCTCTCCACTAGAATATGAACTCTGAGAGCTGAGGCTTTTTCTGCCTTGTTCATCCCTGTATCTCCACTGCCTGGAAAAGTGCTTGGCATATAGTAGGCCTTTAATGAATATGCATTTTTCAAAACTGAATTTAATGAATGGAGAATGGATGGATAGATGGATATATTGATGAATAGATGGGCATGTAGTAAGAGGTCAATAAATTAGTCAAGACTGAATAAACCTATCCATATTAGATAAGCAGTATATAGGCCAATAATGGTAGTAGGTCAATTTTTTAACACCTGTAAAGGGACACAGACCACCATAATACCTCAATATTTACTTCTGTGACTCACTGCCAGACTGTTGTCTACTATTTTAAGGTATCCCAATTTGTGAAAGCTCTGTCATATCCTGAGTACCAACTAGTAATATTCTACACGTTTCCTTCATGTTAATTTTCCTATCTTCTCTCCTAGTATGTTTATGCACACATCCCCATATAAAAACACAGAAGAAAAAGAAATTCAGAATCAACTTTTAAAGAATTACTGAACTCTTCACTCTATCAGTTGACATTATTTTCTGTTTGTGCACAGAGCATTTGGCTTAAATTCTAGACTCATTTTTTATGAGTTTAACTTCCCTCCTCAAAGGTTTCCTCATTTATGAAATAGGTGTGATAATCTTTTTTTCCTTGAAATATTATTTTGATTATGTGAGGAAACATATGTGGATGCATTTTTCAGACTTCAGAATGCTTGTCTAATATTGTTTTTCAAATATTATTTCATATCCTTCCCTCACTTATGGATAGTGATAGCAGTGTATATCTCCATATTATCTTTCTTTTAAGCATCTTATTGTTTGCTGCTTAAGGTCACTTAATCTTAGGTGTATAATCATTTGCATTCTGAATTGCAACTCCATTAGTTTTTATAATTGTTGCATTTAATAGGACATTGGGGAAGTGGATGGCACAGGCAAAAGGAAACTGGATTTTGAACCTTTTATTATGATGACATCCATTTGATTGTGGTCCAAATGATGAGTGAAGGAAAGCTAGTGTGTGACAGCTTTCCAGTGTGAAATAAAGTGTAAGAGTTGGATTTGCTTATTAGTTTGCTGTTTAGGGGGAAAAAAATCCCCCAATACCAATATTTAGCACATATTTATTGAGCTCTTCTTGTGTACAAGCCAAGCCACTGTGAGCATCTAAGGATGCAGCAGTGTGAGATCTGGTGCCTGCTCCACAGGAGCTAAAAGGCCAGGATTACCTCATCTCTAAAGAGAGAAATGCAAGTGGCCTTGTAGAACCAAGCTCATTCACAATTTATAGTCACAAAGGCAAAGCACTGTTTACCTTTCCTTACCTCACAGCTGGTGAATTAGGGGTCACCATAACCACAATTTTTAAAATGAGAAAAATTGAGGACTACTCAATTTTTAAGGAATTAAACTGATACCGCACAGACTCATGCTTTGGTCAAGAATCCCCCAGAGTCATGTTCCCTCTGCTGGGCTTTAGTGATCAGCAACATAAAGTATAGTATGTAAGTGAATGTTACAAAACGTTTTATTTAAAAAAAAAAAAAAAAAATTGTGGAATTGAGAACTGAGAAAAGAAGTATTCTTCAGTTTGACATCACAACGAGATAGCTCATGTGAAAATATTTTGTAAGCTGTGAAGCCCTATATAAGTATAACATGTCAATATATTTTTTTAAATTATATTTTATCTGAATGAATGACTGTTGAGGGCATGACAAAGATTGGGAGCCTTATGGCGGAGTAAAAAATTGCAAATATATTTTTTAAATTGCTCATTGGTGTTTGGCCTATATGATAATGCAACAGTTCACAGCCACTGTGTTTGTTGATATAGTAACTAATAAAGGGAGGTTGGTAGATTAAGAGTGGTGACAAAGTAGACATACTGAATAGTGTAGTTTGAGGTCTAATTTTGTTTAAAATGGTTAAAAATTCAGTGAAGATATCCAATTCAGCATAAGGTCTTTAGAAGTAAACAACTAAATGGTACACAGTTTTTTCTAAGGCTAAGCAGTTTAATTAATCAAAGCTGGCTCTCTAACTCTGCCATGCCACTGACGGGCCTACAATAAATGGCCTCCCTGCCTGCTGCATTTTTCCATCCAAACATTGTACAAATCAAGGACAAGCATCCTTGAGACTCTTTTTAATGGCAATTTTCTTAAAAAGCCAGGCTCCTGCAGTTGCTTAAAATCAAAGAGCATCATGAAAGTTTCTTAGTGCTTTTATGAAATCTGAAAAGATCTTGAAGTTTGAAATGCAAGCAAAGCAAGAGGCCAAAGTCTCAACATTTGAGTTTTCAACATTAATTTTTTAGGAATGTGGAAATCAGATTATTATCATTGGCTTCTAATACTGCTACTCTAAAAACGAATGGCTTCTTAATTTAATGACTTCAAAGTGATATAGTGCACCTTTATAAAGTGCTAAAGAGTTCTAAATACAATTCTTTAGAAAAGATCTTACTACTTAAATTTAACTTATCAAGTGAATGATTTGTCAGCTGTCAATCACAGAGATGCAATTTTTGCTGTATTAATGTCATCTTTACTAATAACAACTGATTAAGATGATTACTTATCCACACATTTTTGTTTTTATAAAAAGTGTTTAAAAGTTTTAAATTCATTGGGGAAATGTTAGTAAGTAATGTGCTTAGAACTACTTATTATCTGAGCTTGGAATAGAAAAAAGAAACATGTTTACACTTAGTGAAAAAATGGTTACCAGTGAGAAACATCTTTGTAACTTTTTAAAATATTATACTCCAGTGGCAAAGTTCTTCCTTTCATATTTTCAATCTCAATCTGAGTGTATTTAATTACTGACAATCATTAGACTTCAATAGTAATTAAAATCTAAAATATGCTTGGTAGCAATCACTGATCAAGTTGACTTATATACAGTAACATTTAATAACAGCAGTATGCTCCTTTCATATTTTCAGGAATTCTAGTATGTTATAGTGTATTTTATAATAGAATTATCATATGTATTTTACAAATCTAATTTTGCAATAAGTTGAATGTAGTATATGAAATGTTAATGAAATTAAGAAAACTAGGCATTACTTTTTATTATATTGTTCTGAATTTTCAAAACTGAATTCACAATAAATGTACTTTCTGGTGAAATTTTAGGAAATAATTAAGAAATTTGAATGCATATGATATATAGTACATATATAATTTTTAAATTGATTTACCTTCATTTCTAATCTTAAAATCTAAACGCTTTTGGTATCTGAGAACATATTATTTGAGTATATTATGCTTTAATCTTAGTATTTAAAATTTTTATTAGGAAATTTACCTTGAATTTCCAAGTCGCATATTTAAAGAACAATAAAAGAAAAAAACTAAAATGTCTGTGTAAAATCCCAATTGATAGAGTTGTGGATTTCGAAATGTAAATATTTTAATATCTTGATTTACTGAGTGGTATTTATACTGCTCTATATAATGTCTGAGTGCTTACCTGCTTACTCTATAAAAATAATTTGTCTACATATTTCCTGTTACTTATAACATATCACAAGTTATCATTATTATAATTTTAAATGTTGACAGATTTACACATTGCCCTTTTTGTGGAAGCATAACTGACAGTGGTTATAAAAATTTAACTTAAAAAATTTATAGAAGTGGGAAATGCTAAGTCACTATGAAAATGATTTTGATACAAACCTCAGATGTAGGCTAGTCAAGAAATAATGGATCAACAGATATTTATTGAGGAATTATGATTTGTGGGGCATGCTAATGGGAATATAAAATATGAGAGAGACCTTTTAAGGACATTACACTTTTGTTAATGTGATCAGCAAAGGGTAACAGTACATAACGCAGAATCACAGTGCAGAAGGGACATGTCTGTTCAGGTGCCACATTCAAAGCAAAGGAAGAAGAGAGTGGCATAAGAGCAAGAGTTATTTCCTGGGCTTCCCTGGTGGCGCAGTGGTTGAGAGTCCGCCTGCCGATGCAGGGAACACGAGTTCGTGCCCCGGTCCGAGAGGATCCCACATGCCGCGGAGCGGCTGGGCCCGTGAGCCATAGCCGCTGAGCCTGCGCGTCCTGGAGCCTGTGCTCAGCGACGGGAGAGGCTGCAGCAGTGAGAGGCCCGCGTACCCCAAAAAGGAAAAAAAAAAAAAAAAGAATTATTTCCTTCATGTAGTGATCAGTAACAAATCTGTAAATTCCGAGGGGCTTGAATGGCATGATGGTCCACGTTGAAATCACTTTAAAAATATCTCCCATCTAATCTAACAGCCATATTTTGATATGGATTATTTCTAATACATTCAAACTTTTTTCCTCATTTGTTCCCAGAATGCTCGGGCCCATTGGGAATTGAAGGTGGAATCATTTCAAATCAGCAAATCACAGCTTCATCTACCCACCGAGCTCTTTTTGGACTCCAGAAATGGTATCCCTACTATGCACGTCTTAATAAGAAGGGGCTTATAAATGCCTGGACAGCTGCAGAAAATGACAGGTGGCCATGGATTCAGGTAACAGATGGGATGGAACAAGGTTACTGGCAACGAATGACCAGAGTCATTTCACAAAGAAGATAGTGAGGGTCCAAAGTGTGACTTTTCTTCATGGTCACAGAGGAAAGGATGATTTAACTAGAGTCCAAATGGACTATAAACTCTGAAACTGTGGGAAACATGCACATTCCATTGGAAAGTGTGTTAAGAGGGTTAAAAATGTTAAAATTCTTGTGTTATAAATATCACAATCTTAAGGTACACATCAAAGAGGGAGGTTTTTACATATACCATGTGTTCCTTAGTACTGTGTTAACATTTAGTAGCAACTTTGGATACTTCAAGAGTATAAAAATTGTGTCTTTTCCTTCTCTGTCTTAAGTAGTTCCATATGTGCAAATATAGAACATGCAATGGATTATGATAATACCTCAAATGTCTTTAGAACCCTCTTTCAATAGCTGAGTGTGTTTCAATTCATACTCTATTATTTATTAGCATCAGTCAGCTATTTTTTTTTTAAACATGAGAAAACAATGCCATACCAAGAGACTAAGTGATTTCCCAAAGATATGATGGAAGGTAGTAATGCCTGCATCTTATATTTTATCTACTTAAATACTTTTTGAGCCCTTAGCTGAAGTGAGACAGGAAACTACCTATTTGGAGACAGAAAAGGTAATCAAACTATGATTTCTGTGAAAGATTATACTTCTGTTGGTGGGGAGCATGTTAACAACATCTAACAAGTCATTGATGTGTGCTGAAGAGAGGGAAAATCCAGTATACACTGGGGTCAGAGGAGGAAGTAATTAATTATCATGAGAAAGCCTCACTGGAAGATAGCTTTTAAGATAGGCCTTGGAAGATGGCTTTCAGTAGAGACCAGATATCAAGGGAACAGCATGATCCAAGATGCTAGGTGAGAACCTGGGCAACGCCAAGTAGAAAATCATGACCTGTGTTTAGGTTGCTAGAGGAATGCATTCAAATTCAGTGTGTGAGTTCAGCACGCTGTAGGATTTATGAATACCAAAAGGTTTTGGCTTTATTCCATTGGAATAGGGAGTTATTAGAGAATTTTGATTTGTTTAGGTAGCTGATGTGTTTTATGTGTTGACTACATAGTTTGAGTCCGAGGTAATTTTTAAGATAGGAATCCATGATGTGGTGTTATAGCAGAAGATAGAGACTGCTTTATAGGCAGTTAATAGAAAGGGAAATTGATTTACGGCCAAGTAGTATGATTTCTGTAGTACTTTCAAAACAGGGCCAAAACCTCCTTCAGATATATCTTTGCTCAGATTTCTTATGAATTTTTACATATCCTATATACATTCTTTTATCTATATGGCTCCATGTGGTTGCCTGATATTCTTGTTTTGTTTTATGAATTTAATTTGCATGCATTTGCAGAAATTCCTGCTTAAGTTGCACGTGATTTTTCTAATCTACAGCCACATGCACAAAGAAAATTCCAGAGAGTGGAAATGGCACCTTTTTACAGTTTTGATCATAGACTAATGAAGTTCCAGTTAAGTTTTAAATGAACACAAAACAACAAAAAATGCTTGTATTCTATTTGCTAAAAATCATTCCAGAGACCATTCTTTAAGTTGACCTTATGAAATGTATTTATAGGATTGAGGTCATGATAAAACTTTAGAAATTATGATTCATAGCAGAAATTGTAGAGCAATTGAGAGATGATGTCACAAGTTTGCATCAGGGTTTCTATTTGACAAATTGTTTGTGAGCGTCAGTGATTTCCTATTTCAATAAACCATAAATAACACACTTTGGCAGTTTTTTTCTCTGAGAAGCACCTTATGATTGTTTTATATCCTGATTTTTCATTTATTTTGTCACGGTTTATTGCCTACTTAACACTATGCAGAAGTCTTTCAGAGTGTGAATGAATTTTAAGTTTTCTTTATCCCAGTGATTTTAGGTAGAAATAACCTCAGTGAAACAGGACAGTGGTAGACTCTTAGAGGAACTTAGATTAAATATAACTTTATCAACCTAAGTAGAATAATTAAATACTTCTTTTAAGGGCAGTCTTTTACTGTTAGTGCTATGGTTATTATTTTTCTTTTGGTGTAGAGATGATAATAAACTCTTAGAGAAAAACAAGTAAAAGTAAAATAAAAGGGTTTATATTAGATGAGGAAATCTTGCATATGATGGAAGGAAAACTGAAAACTCACCATTGCTATTCAATACGTACTTCATGATTGTGTTCAGAGTATTATGTTATTATATTCTCTAATAACATCTTATTTTCTAAGTTATTTTTCTAAAAAGAAAAGGTGTATCCCTTTCTTAAAGGAAAACCGTATCTAGGAGGCTCTGGGAAGTCTAAATATGTACCAAATATTCTTTGTTTGAGCATTAGTAATTTCCCTTGTCATTTAATTCTTTTATTTATATTCAGTCCTTCAAATGAAACATTTGAGTACTTTCCTTAAACTCACTTATAATGAGCGCAGTATTCCTCTAATCTTTCAGGTGTATGAGACACATGCCCTAATTAGTATTCAGTTTCATTTTCTCCCTTGTCTTGATGAAATGAAAATTGAAATGGCCATTTTTAAATTTACACACTCAGCATGCAATTATGGATAGTACCCAATATTCATAATTAGTTCTGAATGTAAGCGGTTAGTACAGTAAATTCAGTTAAACAAAGTTTTCTTTTTTCTTTTTTTTTTTCAAGTTTTTCTGACCTTTATTTCCTCACCCAGATTTTTTTCCAAGTAATAAATAACCACCACCTTCAACACTAACTGGGTCATTAGCACCCTGGAATATCAATTTCCTTTTTGACTGATATGTCAGAAATAACAACTTTGCAGAATTATGGAAATATGCCTTGTAATATATAAAAATTAAAAGCTTATCTAAACCTTCTGGGAACTTTGCTCACTGAATCAGATCAGCCAGGATGATTATTTATTATTTATTTTAAAAGATAAATATTTTCTATTCCTGTTATTTTTCTCTTCTTTTTTTATAGCTACATGTAGTTTTCATTTATTGTTTGTTTGTTTGTTTTTTAATTTCCAAGGTGATTTTGTTTGTATATGTTCTTTCTGGGATGCATATACATTGGATTTCCAGGCATTTATTTATTCATCCGTTCAACAAACATTTACTAAGTGAGTGTCTACCCTGTGGTCTGTTCTCTACTGGGCACTAGAAAAAAGATAGTATTTGCCTTCACAATGCTTTCAATCTAGAATATAGAAAAGTAAGCAAACATAATAGTATGACATGTGTAGCCTGGTCTTACATCATCTGCTAACCAGTCTATTTGAAACATAATACTTTATTATATCCAAACAGTCAATTTTTAATAGAGCTTTTGTTAAACTAAAAACTAGTTTGGCATATTTATAGAATATGAAAGGAGAGAAATTCCCATTACACTATATATTACATAGATATATTATTATATGCTGATCTATTTGATGGGTATATTAAGGCAAAGCCATAATCTTCCTTTGAAAGTTAATTTACCAGTAGTTGTTTCAGTGCTAGTATTTTACCACAGAAAAATAGATCTTGATCTTTCTATTTTAAATAATTCATTACCCTTTTAGAAAATGTGAATATTGAACTTAATATGTTCCTTTTCTATATCCCTTTTCTATAGTTTAGTGGGCGGTGGGGTGGGGTAGCTATTTCTCAAACTTTAATGTGCCCAGGAATCACATAGGTCACTGGATAAAAATAAAAACTTCTGGATTGTCCCACAGACCTATTTATTGCAGGTCATCCTCAGACTGCACTGTAAAAACAGGGCTCATCAGCTCATAAAGCCTGGTTTTGTACTGCCTGAGATACATTAAAAATAAATAAATGAAATGCAAAAAACACTTTTGCTTGATGATCTGAGCACTTTGTTGTTGGAACTGCAAGTAGTGATAACTGCATGGGTGGAAGGAGAGGAAACGACAGTGAAGAAAAATGAGGAAGAATAGTAGGAATTATGTGACCCGCAAAAAGTCTGTAAACTAGAGGGAGGCAGAACCATGTTGTATATCCTAGTCAGAAGTGCGTCCTCCCTTTAGCAGCAATTCCTAAGTAGTCATTATTCATTAGTCATAAAGTCTTTAAGTATTTTCAACAGTTAGTGTTCTTAAATGGCTATTAGATTCTTCTTTGTTAGAAAAGTTTAAATACCCAAAAGCAAGACCATCTGACTTTTGCATTTTAAACAAAATAATAGTGTGGAATACATGGACCCAAAAGAGACTTATGTGAGCACAAGTTATGTTACAAGTTCACATTTCTGGAATATAAATTCCATATGTGGTGGGGTTTTTTAAACTTTGTGAACTAGGTATTTAAAATGCTGCAAAAAATAAGAATAATCATATATTTCATTTCAAAAGCCTATATATAATATGTTTGAAGACTTTTTTGGTACTTATAGGCACCTGGAGCTCCTTGAAACACAAAAACCGTTTTTAAAATCATAAAATTAAAAAGTTGATTTTTTTTTTCCAGGTTGTTTTCTAGTTACAGAACCTGAATTGCACAGAATCGAATCTGTCTTTACCACTTCTCCGTTCAAGTAGAATATGTTTTAACCTGTTTTTTCCTGAAAAAAGCTACATTCTCAGATACACTCCCATTCATACTAAACATCTCTCTAAGGTTAATTACATCTAGACATTAATATATTGCTTCTAATCATCTTTGTTTAAAATAGTAATCTTGTATGGAAAATTACTATTTTCCTTTAAGTTGTTTATTAGAGGTGAGCTTCTACACATAGTTGTGTATGCTTTTAAAAAATGTTACGTTTTAATGTTTAAAAACAAAAAGGCACTTAGCATTAAGTAAAAATGGCATGATGCATCTTTACTGAGATATATTGATAATATATATATTATCAATATATTTATTGACAAATAAATATATTGATAATAAATATATTATCAATATATAATATTGACAATAAATATAGTTAGTCTCTAATTATTTGGTCATTTACCACATTTATACTA